ATTGTGTGGAGGATCTCCACCTTGGCGTCTAACCTTAGTGAACTTGTAATCCATCACTCTGCAGTCTTTTAATGTTGAAGCGAATTTGGAAGGGGCTGCAGATATATTTCATGTAGCATCAATGCAAACGGCTCTTTGAGGAAACAAGTTTGATGGTTGATGTAATGACTTAATAATGGAATCAGTTACTGCAATGTTTCTGTTTAATGTTTGGCACATTTGTAAGAGGTTTGCCAGTGAACATAAGGAGAGTAGGACTAAGTTTAATAGGAGCTTTTTGCCCTGCTACAAAGGATGTCAGTGGTCGTAAAGTCACCTCATGTTGTTGGTCTAATTACCACCATGTGCAGCTCGTGGCATGCGGATGGTGTGACACCTTAAAAGGGAGCTATGCTCAAAACAAACACAGACAGCCTGGCAACCTTTTACTTCTGATCGCCGCGCCATCTCTCCCTGCTTTGTTTGCGACATCCTATTTTGTTTTTCAGACACTTTCGTTTGCATTCTGAGACTTTTGTACATCTCAGTCAAAGTGGGAGTCTTCTTGTAGCTCGTGGAAACTTCCATTGCACAGCCCTCGTAAAGACAGGCCTTCTTCTCAAGTGCAATTAAGTAGAATTATACCTCTTTTAAGTATATATTAACTTACTGATGCCACAATATCCTTTGTGCTCTGTATTGTGATTATGGGGGGGGAAGAGGTTTTTTCAACGAAAAAAGGGAAGCTACTTTGACAGCGGAGAAGGGCAGAGATTTGTCTTTATGAAGGAAAAAAAAAGATTAAATAACATTAACAAGAAAAGAAAAAAACAGTTTGGGCCCACACACAGTGAAAGCATTTTAGTGTACTTGTTAAACTTTGTCGCTATCCCTCTGTCAGCTGATTAGTTAGAAGATAGTGCTGTCTGTTTATAATGATCCAGACCAGTACACAGACTTAATGGAACCTTGTTTGTCCAGGAATATAACATCAGCATGTCTTCACACGCCTGGCGGACTGTTAAACCAGACATACCCAGCTTTAACGTGGGCCTGTGTGTGTGTGTAATAACGTTGGAGCCTCTTCTGCTCCTCTTCAACTGTCAGCATTGTGTCACTTCCTGGTTCTGAGAGGAAGCTGTGGTTTTCTGGTGCATGTGATAGAACACACGACACAGAAAAAGATGTGGTTTATGATGATCACACTGGAGTAAATTCAAGCGTGTATTTTCCCTTTAACGGCGACAAAACAGACCAGGTGACTGCAGTTAAAAGGTTTAATGTGTCGAAAGAAGGTCAGACAAGTGGAGTTAAGCTTTCTATGCAAAACAAAAGTCATCACCACTAATGCACAGGAAGAGAACGTGTACACTAAGCACTATTGTGCAATACATCACCACAGAGATTTTTGCTGTTTTTTATAGTGAGTCAGATTTAATTGTCACATATCGGGAACAAATTCTTGAAACAGAGCAAGACCATTAGGGACAGTTCTTCCTTCATCAAGCTCACACATTGGCACCAGCGTATACACCACATATTTAGAGATTGTGTCAACACAACACTCAATCCACAGCCATACTTATCTGCTAACACAACTACCAATGCACAACCCTGCTACCTACTTATGTACAGTATATGCCAACATGCTCACAATGACACAGCTGTTTATCGTGTTGGCCATCTTAGCATGTTAGCATGCTAGCAGTTACTACCACTAAATTCAAGGTGGAGCTGAGGCCGCTAAGAATGTGGTTAATTCTTCAGATATTAAGTTTGAACAACATCAAACTTTGACATGACAATGGCGGTACATGAAGAGTCGGAGGATTACTAAGTTCTTCAGGAAACAAGAAGTTATTGATCTATCATTGGAAAAGTAAAATATCATCGAAGAAAAGTCAGTAGCGTTCATCCTCTCTCGACCATCTCTGCAAAATGGTAATCCGTCCAATAGTTGTCGAAGCATTCAAGACTGAAGCAGTGTCAGCCATGCTGCTACTCTGGCTAAAAGTCATTCTTGTATCGAACCCGCTCTGTAATAAGTTGTGTAATGTCCAAGTTGTTAACTCCCTTCTTCGCCAGAATAGAGTCACAGGGTGATGGGAGTTGTGCAAATGCCACCAGTGCTCGGAAAACACAAACTACTTGCCTGTCCTTTTTCATATTAAACAGACTGGGTGTGGTCATTCTCCAGATAGGGATGTGAATCCAACTTGACATGCTCTGCTTCGGCCAGAGAAGTAGTTAATTGTCACTGTACTGTTTTAGCTACAGCCCCGCTGGAGCTTAACCCTCCGTTTTTCCACAAAGAGCTTACTGAAACAGAATAGTTTGTAATGCTGGAAAAAAGAGTCACTCTACATACAGTAGATATTTAACTACTTGCATTTGAATTTGTTTCTATATTTTTTTCCTATCTGCTATATGTAAACACAGCCTGCAGTTCAGCCAAGTTCACCTTAAAAGTCCTTGAGTAGTAGGCCGAGATTGGTTTATGTGAGGATTCTCTCTGTTTTTACAGTTTAATATTTCCAAAGAAAACATGCCTTTATAACACAATGTCAGGTTTTGGGTTTCAGAAAGTTAAAATATATTTTAAATGTGGTTTTGAATTGACCAACATAGTAAATCTAGGGCTAAAAAATGATTTTATTGGCATAAAAATGAAGTAAATCGAGTAGCAGTGGTTGTATTCATCAACACCTAAAGCCTCTTAAGAATGCTAACTATTTATGAAGAGTTACAGTCAGATGGGCTTTAGAGAAACACCAGTTAGTTTATCGAGGCTTGAGTATAAAAGCGTAGAGAAGCCAGTGTTCAGTTTTAGCTCTCAGCGAGGTACCTGTACCACAATCTGTAAGGGCTCACACTCACGGAACGTTTAAATAATTCAATGACAGCTTGCCTTAAACAAGGTTTTGGTTTGTACTTTAAATGTGCTGTTTCCTGTTCCCGTCGTCCTCACATGATAGGAGTATGGAGGGAACACTCCAATGTTACCTCTCCATCATATGGTGTTTACACTTGAAATCAGACAATAAACCATTATTATGAGCAGAGCCTCCACAAGTGTCTCTTGACCTACTTTCCAGTTTCCTGAGGAAGCGTCCTGAGTTTGCTGAAGGCTTATCTGCTTAAGACGTGAGCTGTAGTGCTGTAGACTGAGAGCCTAGACACCTCATTCATTATATTTAGTGACACCTGGAACTTAGACTGTCTGATTTTGTGCATTTCAGCCCTCTGGTTTCGGTTTGCTGTTCTGTGACGTCTTCAGGTTCTCATTGTAGCTCCTGTAAATGATGTACAAAAAGTATTTACCATATATGTTTTTCACTAACATAAAAAAACAAAAACAAAACTTTTAAATGACATGTAATGTATTTTGACCTGATGGGTTTAAAATGTATTCAGAAATGACGTGGTCCAGCAAAACTTGGATTTCTATTTTTGCCTATTGGGATGATGTGGCACAGATTGACCCAGAGGAAGTTGAGGATTTTGATGATTCATGTGAGCTCACGCAGAGAGGAGGGATGGGGAGATTCTGCATCACCACAGTCACTGTCTATCTCAGATCCTCTCATACTACATGCATCAGACAGAACACATTCGCTGTATTTGTTCTCCTTTTTGCGTGTTCGGCTTCCTCAAAATGCAGAATGCAGTTCTGATTTACAGCTCGACTGTAATCTGGAACATCTATAGCGAACAATAGTTTAGATGTTTGTTGTAACACTAGAGGCCCGGGTCGGCATTTCAGAGCGGTTGAAGCTCTATTTTATTTGCTTCATGTGGACTCAGCACAAAGAAGAGTCTCAGTGGGAGGGAAGCAGCCTCTGTCTCCGTCTGGATTCCATACTGGCACAGCATAACCCTTCACCTTGCTTTTTTTTATTGCTGACTGATATTCTTTCCATATGATGGTATGGGGCTTTTTCATCATTCTATAGGCCTTCTTTAAAATAGTTTCCCTCAAGCTAATCTAGCACATTCCCCACATGTCTTCACTTCCGTCTCACTTCAGCTTTGTGTACGATGCGGAGCAGCTCTCTGAATTGTTTAGCCACATCTGCGAAACAAATCACTGTTCTCATTCGGTACCACGAGTTGCAGACCCAAACACCGACTGTCATCGGGCCTGGATGGGAGCAGGAGAGGGGAGGGGATGGAAGGAGAAGGCACATATGTGTGTGGAGGTTGGAGGAGGGAGGAGGGATGATTAAAAAGGTCTCCGTCCAGATATTCTAACTTTTAACAGGCTGCAGCAGGTCTGTCATTACAAATCACAGCATGCAGCCAAGCATTGTTCAGAACCACCGCTAATTAGCGTGCGCTAATTCATTGTTTGGTTGTGTAATGTTGGGACATCGGTAGTGGGTGTTCTCCACATCTACCTTCCTAAAGGGTACAAATCAAATCATAAAAGGAGAGTTTAGAGAACAAATGCTGAGAAAAGACAGACCTGAAGAGAATTGCAACTTATGTAAGAGTTGCAGACTTTGGAAGAACACAGTGTTCCTATGGAATCTGTAAATGAAAGGAGGGAGGATTCTTTTCTCTCTCTTTTTTTTTTTTTCAAAGAGGGATCACGTCATGACTAGTCAGACCAGAAGAGGGGTGGAAAGTTGGCTCTGTATGACCTTTCCTATAACTCCAATTGGACATCTTTACAGTGTAATTTAACCCTCTGTGCAAATACATGACACGTTGTAAAAAGTGTTTCTCCTTTGTGTCCTGCACACGGCCTGATTAAAAATAACAGTAATGCAGTTCAGCCTGAGTCAGTGGTGGTAAAGTCAACAAAGCAGCTACAGCGATAAATTCATAGGACGTGCCGACACATAACACCCAACATGTAATAGATTTACTGTGTTGTTATCCGTGTACCATAAATCCTGTGAAAATGTCTGAAATGAAATGGAACGTGAGGTCGTAAATAAGACATTCAAGTGTGTACATGTGTGAATGCTCTTTGCTGAATAATGTGGGTTTTGATCACTTCTCTGTCTGAACTGTAGAACCTAGTTTCAAGACTGGCAGCAGACCAAGGAAAAGCAGAAGTCCGCTGCAGACCCTCTACAATGGAGACCAGGTGAGGACTAAAGCACACCTAGACACACACACGTAGCTGAATAATTAATGACAAATTAGGCTGTAAAATCCACTTTCACCTTCATTAACAGGTCAGCATTTGCCTTTCACCAATATTTTTGATGCCTATGGACACCTCCTGCTGCACTCAGTGGGGCTTATGAAGGTCATATTTACTTAAAGGCCTACTTTTTGGAAAAACACATACTTGCGTTCCTGCCAAGATGCCCCCTCTCGAATCTTTACAGCAAATGTGAAGCTATTGCTAACAGCCAGTTAGCTTCAGGGCAGATAGTTAGTCTGGCTCTGTCCAAACATCCAAAATCCACCAACCAGGACTCTGCAGACATGCACACACACACACAGATTCATTCTAACATTTTGCCCTTGATCTATGACATTATACATTCATTATGATGTTGCCCAGCAACAAAGGTCCCATTCCCAGGCAGCCAAAGGCCAAAACCTGAAGAACACAAAGGGACTCAAAAACAACCACTACTCATCTGACCTGCTTCAGACTGAGCACTGCACTTCCCCAACAACACGCCGTCCAGTCTGAAGCAAATCACATGCACTGTGGCTGTGCAAATAACAGATACACACACCACACAGATTCTTTGATTTATTATTAAGACACCTCATTTGGTGCACGGTGGTTCGGTGGTTAGCACAGTTGCCTCGCGGCTAGGGAATCCCCAGTTTGCTTAGGATACCCGGGATCTTTCTGTGTAAAGTTTGTGTTCTTCCTGTGTAGTGTGGGTTCTCTCTGGGTTCTCCGGCTTCCTCCCACACAGTCCAAAACATGTTGAGGTTAATTGGCGATTCTAAATTGTCCGTAGGTGTGAATGTGAGTGTGCTTGGTTGTCTGTCTCTAAGTGTAGCCCTGTGATAGACTGGTGACCTGTCCAGGGTGTCCCCTGCCTTCACCCTGAGTCAGCTGGAATAGACTCCAGCCCCCCACGACCCTAATGAAGATTAAGCGGTGTATAGATAATGGATGGATGGATGCCTCATTTGTTTTATTTCGACAAGAAACAAAGTGTAATATAGACAATTAGTGGTTTCAGTTCAGGCTAATCTGCTGACTGGCCCTAAGTTCTTGTGTTGCAAATACATGTGCCAGACGTGGCTGTTGAACAGGCCGGGGGGGTCTGGCACCGTGTAGTTCCTATCGCACTGATGCTGTCTTCAGTGTGCAGACAGTAGAGGGGCGTTTGTATTCTCATCAAACTGCAAATAGTCATGTGCTCTAAAATGTTGTGCTTCAGTTATGCAGTTAAGAGGCAGCAAGGGAAAAGAAAAGTTAAAAAAGACAGTCTAATGTCAGACTTAGCTTCAAACCCAGTGATTTTATCTACCTAAACAGGCTGCCCACACGGTTGTGTGTGTGATCGTTGTGCTTTCACTCTTTATCTCTGCTGTACTAAGGCACAAATGAAAAAAAAGAAAGACAACCAATTACTTTTGGTTTCAATCAGGAAATTGCGAAACATGTGCATGTCATGAAAAGATCCAAACCTATGTAGCGTGGTGTTTAGAGACATGTTTTAGTCACAAAGTATTAAAGCTCTGTACATTTAACTTGCCTGCAGCAGTTTTTCCAAAGCTGTTTGTTTAAAAGGTATTTGTGTTTGTGCTTCATCCTCCCTCAACTGCCCTTTCGGTCCCTGTTTGATTCCTCCTGCATCTTCCTCATCACAAGCAGCTGGAGCTGTTGGCAGCTCAGAGGTCCCTCCAAGGCCGCAGGGAGCTGTTGGAGCAGGCCTGTCTGAGCCACACGAGGAAGCGGCGGGTGCTTTCGCCTGAGGATCTCAAACACCTCATTGTGGATGACAAACACAGCCTTATTTACTGCTACGTACCCAAGGTCGGTTACCATGAGACGCATCAGTGAAGCTGAAATTCTAGTCCAGAGGTTTCAGGCTGAGAGGGAGGGTTGGGATGGGGGACTGTGGGGTAAACATACTGCATTGATCTGAAGGGGACAGGTGCATACCAGGGTTCTAAAAGCAAGTTTGTTAATGTAATGTAGTCTAAAGTTTGGCAGTCTTCTGAGTTGTTGCTTAGCCAACTCTGACCACAGGCATGATGCACATATCGGTAGATGTAGTGTGACTTAGACTTTCCAGTGATCATTCTCCCAGATGTCAGTACAATAAAGACACATAAATCTACTAAGAAACCATACAAAGAACTAACAAAGAAACTTGCCTTCATCATCAGAGTGATCTAGTGTAATCATGTGTTTGTCTCTCTGTTTTGACTTCCAGGTAGCCTGCACCAACTGGAAGCGTGTCCTCATGGTCCTCACCAGCGACGGCCGCTACACCGACCCCCTCGCCATCCCTGCCAACGAGGCCCACGTCGCTGGTAACCTCCGCACCCTGTCGGAGTTCTCGGTCCCGGAGATCAACAAACGCCTCCGCAGCTACCTCAAGTTCATCTTCGTGCGGGAGCCTTTTGAGCGCCTGGTGTCGGCCTACAGGAACAAGTTCACGCGGAGCTACAACACCGCCTTCCACAAGCGCTACGGAACCAAGATCATCCGCCGACACCGGCCCGACCCCGACCCCGAAGCTCTGGAGCAGGGGAGTGACGTGTCCTTTCACGAGTTCGTCCAGTATCTCGTGGACCCTCGGACGCAACGGGAGGAGCCTTTCAACGAGCACTGGGAGCGGGTGCACTCCCTCTGCCATCCCTGCGTGATCCACTACGACGTGGTGGGGAAGTACGAGACTCTGGAGCCAGATGCTCAGGCTGTGCTCAGATTAGCCGGAGTGGAGGAGACGCTTCAATTTCCTACGTCTGGCAAGAGCACCAGGACTGACGGCAACATGGCGGCACGCTTCTTCAAGCACATCAGCCCTTTCTATCAGAAGAAACTGTTCAACCTGTATCGAATGGACTTCTTGCTCTTCAACTACTCCACACCAGAGTATCTCAGGACTCGATGAGGAGCAGAGAGGACTGACGGATCAGTTTTCCTTTGACTTTACAGCGATGATAATTTTGCACTTTTTGGCTGCCATGGACTTTGAATGCCGATCCCTGCCTATCTATCACAAGCACACACTTGTCACTACAACACAAAAACAAACGTGGAGAGTGACTTGATTTTCTGGTTTCTGTGAGTGGGACTTTTTATAAGAAAGGCAAATTCTAAAGAACACAGTGTGTGCTGTAATCTGCCATCATCTGTCACGTATGTCGGTTTTCAGTATGACAACGGTACATCGCTTTGACGTTCAGCAGAACAGGATGCAGATGCTGCTGATACGTGAACCGTCATCACCAACCAATTCTTTTTCTATTTATTTTCGTTTCTCACCGAGACCTTTCGTCGTCAAATTGAGCAAACCTCACTTTGACTTCTCATTGAGTTGCTGTTGAGCAGGTGAAATGTGCGTCACCAGCGTCCATGCAGTGCCCACTACAGAGAAAATGCTCCCATGGCTTGATATATTTTCTTCTGAGAACTAATGAGCCATAAATAAAAGTCACACTTCAGAGGAGCAGGTTCTCTTCTCACAGGTGAAAGTGCTGACTGTGAAACTGAGGACAGCAGATTGTGTCAGAGCACCTACAGAACAGTATCTCTGGAAGGCCTTTATTTATGTCTGTCAGTGCATAAAGTATTTATTGTTATAGAAAACGAGGATTCGGCCTCCTGATTTTGTGAAAATGAGTTTTATATGGAGGCTTTCCTCTCGCAGAGTGAATATTTACTTTCACGGAAAGTTCCTTGCTGTCTCGGCTTTTGCACATAAACTGATGCCAAATAGAAAAATCTTCTGCCGTATCCACCCACTGATCAAAAAAAAACTACACCCAGGACTCATCGAAGTTGTCACAGCTCTCGTGTCTTACACAAATGTCTGAGTCACGTGCAGGGAAACTTGCAGTCTCTCGATCATTCCGGTAAAAGCTCGTTGCCATCTCCCGTCTATCGCTGTCTGTATTTAGCTCTGGGCAGGTAGGCTGAACAAACAACCGCATAGCTGTGGTCGGGGCTGGGTCCAGCCCAGCACGACGCCTGCTCAGAGCTCCCCTTGTTAGCTTGAACGCAGGCACATGAAGGGTTAATCCAGCTACAGTCGTCTGCACTGCGGGGCCTTGTTCAGTAAATGTGTCAGAATTTATGGTAAAAAAAAAATGGAGGCTAGGAAAATGTTTATTAATGGCCTGCAGTGTCTTCTCTCTGACAGGAAAATCCAACGATTTTACACATCAAAGTCTGTTCCCCTCTCGGTGGAGTGTGCTGGCATTTGTGAAGAAAGTTAAATAAAGATGTTATTAGCTGCTCCTCCCTGAACATGACAGACCTGAACATCCAATCTGTGTGCGATCGACTTGCCTTGTATGTCAGGTGGGCACCAGAACACGTTAGATGTGAAGAAGATGATCTCTGGCTCTGCTTGTTTTCAACCCTCTGAACCCCAAGCTCCTGTCACTATTCTGAAAAAAAATCTAAAACTTTGTGTTACTAATACCGTGAAATATAGATATTTGACAACTTAGATTTTTGTTTTCCAGCTTTTAGTCGATCTGCTCTGTGTCACAGTCTGCAGTTCAGTCAAGAAGTCTTTTGGTCGTGTGACTGTTGGTTGCAGACGAATGGCTTCATAGTTGTGCAGAGTAGCTCAGGGTTTTTAGTTTTTTATAGAATAAGGTCCAAATGTTTTCTCTTTTTTTTTTTGACAAGCCTTTAAATGAGACATAAACTAAAATAATTTTGATGAAACATCACTAATTTAAGCTTATCTTTGGTTAAGTTTTCCAGCCAAGTGGCGCATCACAGACGAGTAGTTAACTGATTGTCGGGAAGTTAAATCTTCTGTTTGTACGTTTTTCGTTGTAAAGAATTGTGGCGTTTTGGTGATTTTATGAAGTTCAGAGGGTTGAACTGCAGCACAGCAGGAGAGCAGGCACTGATCGTCCCATTAGCAAGACACCCACCGAGGGTTTTAAGAAGAGCAAAGAACAGACTCACTGATAAAAATTCTTTTAATTTATTCGCGAGATTATCTCGGGCATTTTCCAGGAAGACGAATAATCTGACACAAAGTAGAAGTTAAACACAGACAGCATTCAATCGATTTGTAACTTGAGATGATGCCAGAAAGTTGGTCGTCGGTGCCACTGACATAAAACGTGTTACCAAAAATAATAAACCAATCAAATAAATGTATCTCAGTACAAACTCCTGTTATTTAAATACCCCAGCACAGCCGACGGATGCTACCAACAGCATCCGGCTCACGTTATTAGATACTGCGTTAGCCTAAACAAGCTAACGTTAGCCGTCACAGACAGCAGCGGGAACATTTCAGGATTTGCCCATTTTGACGACATGTTGTTAACGTAACAACGGAGAAGTTTGAACCCTGCACAGGTCTGGATGTCTGACTTTGAGCTGCTTAGGTCAGGACACACGACTGTGGTTCTTTTATGTCGGCTGCTGCACTTGTCCAGTATTTATTGTACCTGCAGTACTTTAGCGAAACAAAGTACCATCACGTGGTACCAGTATTGATCCGCATGACTTTTAACATGTAACCCAGAGTCTTTTAGTCAAACAGGTCAGCTGAACGGGATAAACATAAGCACATAACATTACATATACAGTATTGCCCAAACCGCATTTATTTATTTTCTGTTTTCCTTTATTTATTGACAACATTTTGATCCCGGTCAGATCTTCATCAGGCAATAACATACAGCGTCACTTTGCTTCTCCTCTACTCAGGACGTCTCGAGGCTACGCCGTTCATCATATCAGAGATTAATTGACAGCTGGCATTAATCTGAACCTGACATTTCTTTATTAGCTCGAATTTAACACAAAACAACACTGCAGTCAAGATATTAGTTTTGCTCTGAAAGTGTGCCCGTCGAGACAAGTTAGCAGGAGACAGTTTAATGTCATCTTTTTATCTTTCAGATATCTCTTTTTGTAAAATATGTGTTTTTTTTGTGCGACAGGCCCAGGCTGGCCCACTCCGCAAACAAAAAATATGCAATATCAGTGCGTTACTGTGGGTATGTGTTAAGAGCCGTGTCTGTATCGAAGACTTTGTTCAAGCCTTAAATTTTGTGCCATATTTTAGTTTTTTTTTTTTTTCTTCTTGTTTGCAGCCATGGAATACAGGGTGTTCATTGTAATGCTTTCCTGTGTAGCAGTGTGTAATTTAAGCCATAATTTGCAAGAAGCTGTGACTCGCCAGACGCCGATCACACCCTTTGTGTTTCTTCCCTTCTGGGCCCAATGACATACTGCACAAAATATATGTCTTACCTTTTAATTTTGTGGAAAAAACACAAGAACAACGAGTGGCGTCTTCTTTGAAAAGGGATTCAACGTGCTAAATATTCATCTCGAACGCCCGGACGTCGCCGTGTGGGGACGCAGCTCTTCAAAGATCTTCAATTTTTATTTTCCGTAGAGTCATTGTGAAATAGTGAGCACAAACTGAAAGTATCCCTCGCGCGCTCATGCAGTCTCTCGTGCCACAAAACTGTGAATGTGATAACTGAAGTGCACTTGCTGGTGTGATGATGATGATGATGATTGACTGGTTACCTTGAAGTTTCAACAAATACAGACCCCCAACAGCAACACTGACTCTGTGTGTGTGTGTTTTTTCTTTTCTCATTACAGACACAAATCAAATTGAACCCATTTGCACGAGACAGGACCGGTAGACAGGCAGGTTACGCAACACAAAAAAAAACACTTTTAGTATCAGTTACGGGGATTAAGAGGAGCTGGCAGGGAAACAAACTGTCCAGGGGTCTGTTGCATGAAGTGACTTCGATTTAACTTCAGGTTCCATAAAGCAGATTTAATTCAAGTGTAGTTACTCTGGAAACATTTAACTTTTGTCATTAATAATAAAAACATGAACCACATTAAGGAGAAAACAGATGCTACTTCCTGCTGTGCATCTTGAAATGATGTTCAATAAAAACAATATTTTATTTTCTGATATTGCCAAGTCCACAGAACACATGTAGCCTGGATGCTCAAACTCCCTCAGCGACTCCAATCAGATGTGTTTAGTTTCAGTCGGGCTTGAAAACAACTGTTTAAAATAATCCAAGTTAGGGAATGCAAAGTGAGCATGACCCACAGAGACACAATAGAGAAA